AAAAAAAAAAAAAAAAAATTACTTAATTATTATTATTATTATTATTAATGGAAGAACGGGGGTCGTTAATTTTTTTTTTTTTTTTTATTTAATTTTTACGCGACTATAAAAAAATATTAAAAAAATTTATTGACATGTTGCAATTTTCACCTTTTTTTTAGTTCAACATTAAAAAAAAAAAAAAAAAAACTCATTTTTACAAAAAAACAAATTCATATTAAAATATCGTAATAATAATAATAATAATAATAATAATTTAAATTATTATCGTTTGTTTTTTTGTTTTTTTTTTTTCAAAGTTATTTTTAATCCCTTTTTATTTTTACTTTATGTGTATGTTTTATTAAAAAATAAAAAAATTCTATTAACTTTAAATACATGTATAAAAAAACATTATTTCGACAAGTTGCTTATTTTACACAGTTATATTACACAATTCACTGATCCTTAATTACTACTTACTACTTACAGTAGTAGTAATTCATTTAAAATTATTTAAAAAAAAAATCTGTTTTTTTTTCACTTGTCAAGTCAAGAGAAAGCACTGCTTCATATATGCAAGCTTACACCTTTTACCTCACATAAGAGTTCATATAAAAAAAAAACATTATTAAAAATTAAAACTTACAAGTGTATTCTTATTATTTATTTCTACATTTTCTGTTTTTTTAATGTTTTTTTTCTTAACTGAACCAGAATGAAATCTTCCACCTTCTCCTCTTATCCTGTTCATGGCGTGCCTGTGCCTAGATTCGTGAAGGTATTTCTTAAAAAAAAAAAAAATTCATATGTGAGTTTAAATACTCGATTGGGAAAAAAGTGTGTGTGGAGTCTATGAATTTTTTATTAATAATTTCTTACAGGTCTTTCCTTTGGAATTTTTCCTTCAGCTTCTAGTTTAGCTCTTGCCTGCCTCCTTTTAAGTATTCTTCGATACTGCTTTGCATTTACATACAAAGGTTCTTCTTCTAAAAATTCTGCTGCAACTGGTATAGGAACTCTTGGAAAAGCATTATTGGCAGCTACTTGCAAACCACCATCAGTCTGCTTAAAAGAAAAAAATAAGATTTATTAAAGTTAGTAAATTCGAATTTATCATTTTTTTTTTTTGTTTTTATTAAGAATACTCACAACTACAATATTAGCTTGCTGAACACCAGTAGTGACAGTTCCTGCTGTATTAGTCGGAGTAGGAGTAATTTGAACTAAGTTACCATTTATATTCAAAACAGTCGGTTGGACTGTATTTTCTAATGCTGTCGGTTGATAAATATATGTTTGACCATCTGCAGTCTGAATTATTTGTGGTTGAGCTTGCTGCGGTTGAAATACTATTTGTTGAGGAGCTGCTGCCTGTTTTCAAAGCATTTACATAATTTTTTAAATTCATTAGGAAAAATTATTATTTTGACGATTTACAAAAAGAATATTTTATCTCACTTGTAAACTCTGAACTGGTACCACTTGAATTTGTCCACCAGCTGGAGTTACTTGAATTTGATTAGTCGCTTGTGGTACAGTGTGAACTACTATTTGTTGTCCATTAGCTCCTTGAATGACTTGTTGTACTTGGCTGGCAGGATTGACTTGCACCAACTGGACTTGCCCAGTACCAGTTTGCATTACAGCCACCTGCCCTTCTGCCATTTACACTAAATAAGAAAATAATATTTTAAAAGTCTCATTACACACAAAAAGGGAAAAAAAAAAAAAAGTTTAGCCTTGCTCGCATTAAGATTAAAGATTTTTATATCATAAAAAAAAATTATTTTATGATTTGAAGTTCAATCTTATAGTTACTTCAAATAAAAATGACATGCATTGAAGCAATAAGGGTTAACATTTATTACTTTATATTAGGTGTATGCACTTTACAATTAAATTTCAAGTACTGTGTTTAGGAGTAAAGCTTGTAATACATATTAAAGTTAGAAATTACAAAAAAAAAACTGTGCAAAAAATTTGATGCAGTTTTCAAAGAAGGCATTTTTTAAAGGAAATACCTTCTTTGTAATATTAAAAAAGTTTTTAAAAAAAAACTTATGAAAAGTTTTTTTAGCTACAAACCTTCTCAATCAAGCATGAACTAATCATTATGTTTTCAAAGTAATGTCGTTGCAAAGCATTTGGAGAAAGCCTATTTGAGACATTGATTTTTCACAAAATGGCTTCCATTTTATTTGGAGCGCCATGATTTTATTCTTTAACACATTATTTATTTTAAAATTCCGTTTTCCACAACAACACATGTAAACAAATGAATAGAAAATAACGTACCTTAATTTATTAACCAGAGATTGGATATTTTTGGCAGCGGTGTTCCAATGATTGGTCGACAAATCACACGCAAATCACACACCAATGACCGTCCAATACTCGGCGAATCAAAAGGGTCCAAAGCTTGTATTGGTGTAATGTATAGTCAAAGCTGCCAACAAAAAAATATCCCTTATGAGTTTGATAACGGGACTTGAAATTTTTTTTAGCATCGTTTGGCTATCACTGAAACTATTTTAAAATTAGTCCACTTAGAGCAGCACTAATCAATTTAAATTAGTATTGATTTCACAATGATTGAACTCTCTTTAAAATTATATGTTGCAATTATTTAAGTGTTGTGAATTTTATTTATTAAGGCCCTCAATTACAGCTTGGCTACAACTAAAATTAAATTTTAACGCTGTGTTAGTGTGGTCATCAAAATTTTTACATTTATTTATGGTGATGTTCCTTTAAAAATTGTTGTCACCTTTATTTTATTAACATATTGTTACTTTTTATAATGGCTGATGTAGTACAAGAAGAAAAGCCAAAAACTCAAAAAAAAAGAACTAGAAATCCTGACGGATGGAAAAGGGTGAAACAAAAAAGGGCAAGAATAGCAGGGAAAGAGTATTTAAATGTTCGTGGCAATTATGTTGCACCTAGAAAAATTGGGCCTGACTGTCAGTGTAAATTAATGTGTTACAAACACGTAGATGAATCGATGAGAAAAATGATTTTCGAAGGATTTTACGATTTAAAGAGCTACGATGAACAAAATGCATATTTATTTGGCCTGATTCGGAAGCATGATATAAAAAGAAAAACAAAACCATTATCAGCACGCCGTACGTGTACTTATAAATATTATTTAAGATTTCGAGGAAGAGAAATAAACGTGTGTAAAGTTGCATTTGCTAGAATTCACGCCATTTCTGCCAAAAAAATCAGAGGTCTTTGCGAGAAACTCGATCAAAATATATTATTTCCCAAAGATGGCCGAGGTAAACATTCGAACAGACCACAAAAAATTCAACCAGAAACGCAAGAATTAATTAAACGGCACTTGTATAGTCTTCTACGTTCCCCAGATGTTCGCGATTATTTTAAAGAAGATAAAAATCATCCTGCCTCGACGGAATTAAATATAACCAAATTGTACAAACATTTTTTGCAAACTTATGATCCTGAAGCCTTAATTCCTAATTCAACTCATATAAATGCCTGTTATACTCCTAAAGTGAAAATGTGGCTTTATCGACATATTTTTCATCAAGAATTTAAAACCAAAGACTATCAATTATTAAAGAAAAAAGTTGAAACTGGGTATCGTTCTAATTCTGATTTAGCAGACTATACTTTACAGGATAAAATATTTACCAAAAAGACCAAAAGAAAAGCTACAAAACCTCAAAAAAAATTAAATAATGTTCAGGAAAACTGTGGTAAGTAATTCAATTCATTTTTTAATTTTTTTCTATCATTATCTAAATTTAATTAACAGATAATTAGTCTTTTTATTTTAATAATTAATAGTTGATTCATAAAATTTTTTTATTTTTAAAACTATGTAAAAGCATTAAATTATTGTTGTGCTTACATTACCTAATTTCTTCACATGTCTAATTTTCAGACTCGATGTCTAGTACATCAACAGGGGTACAAACTATTGTTCAAAAATTTTATCCGAGAACAGAAAATGCACCTGCTGTTATTCATCTTCCAATGGATGTCAGTTTCACATCGTTCACTCAAGATGGGAGACCAGCTCAATTGATTGACACCACAAATAGAAATCAAGTAATTTTGGATACTGGTAATAGGAATCAAACAGCTACCATACAAACAGTCAATAGAAATCAAGTCATGATAGCAGAAGCTGTTAATAGGAATCAAGTGATGATAGCTGATACAACAAATAGAAACCCTACATTAAATCTTCAAAAAATTAATTACACAATTCAAGACATACATGGAAATCAACAAGGAGGCGGATCTCACAATTATCAAATATTCCAAGCAGAGACTTATCATCCGAATGTATTAAGTCAACATACAGATCATCCAATTTATCATATTGATAAAGGAGCTGGAGAATTAATTTCTCTGAGACCTATTAGAATTGCAGGAGATGTAAATATGCAACTTCCTACAGGATATTAAATATAAATTAATTTTAATATTAGGTGATAGTGACAATAGGTGAAGAAAATGGTTGTTGAGAAACAGTGTTGTAAGTCTCGATATTATTTTTAAAAACAAATGATTGAAAAAAAAAAAAAAGATTAGTTATTAAATTGTTTAGACTCATTTTCCCGTGCTTGTCAAAAGCAGCCATGTTGTTTTCAAATTTTTTTTTTCTTTAAATGCTAAATGCGTACAGTATGATAAAGTAATTGATTCTTTTAACGATAACCGATTATTTTTCATTGAATATAGAGTGAGATGTGGTAAATTTGAGTATGGACTCAAATCTTTGTTGTGAATTGACCATAAAAAAAAAACTCATTTTTTTATTTGTTAGACATAATCGAAATAATTTTCTCATTGAAAATTTTTATATAAAATTAATTATAATAAAGGATAATATAAGTAAAAAGGTTTTATATAATATGCAAGTATTAAAGATCAGTTTAGCTAGTCACTGATATTATTTAATTATATAATTTCTTCATCGCAGGCAAATTTTATTTTTTATTTAATAATTCTTACAGTGCATAATTGAATTCAAAGCAAAAATTATAATTTAAAGGTATTCAAACATTTTTTTGGGCTCATGATAAAACGAAAAGAAAAAATCTTTTTAATAATTCTCTCTCTCTCGTTAAATATTTAAATAAATTTTTAAAGAAATTTGGTTTTTTTTCTTTTCGTTTTTGTTCTTTTACAATCATCCAAAAAAAAAAATAGTTACAATGAAGTTGTCGCTGATTATTATTACAAATTTAGTGAAAAAATAAAAAAAAATAAAAAAATATTATAAATAAAATTTATTTTTATAAACTTTATACTGTACATAGTAGATTCTATTATTCCTTAATCGGGGGCTAAATAGAAATTATTTAAAAAAATTTTTTTTTTTTTTATTTTAAAATGAAAAAATATACATATGTTACATATATATATTTATGCATATACATATTAAAATGACAGTGAAACATTTATTATTGTATTATTACAGCAGAAATGGGAATCACATGCAAAAGATCAAATTATCATTATTATTTGTATTATTTTGTTATTTGATAAAACGATAAAAAAAAAAATAATTATCATTATTATTATTATTATTGTTTTTTTTTTCTTTTTTCTTAATCGAATAATAATAATTTTATTTTGTATTTTTTAACCCAATATATATTATAATAAATAAATAAATAAATAAATTTAAAATTAGGCTGTTTTAAATTGTTTGTTAGATTTATTATTATTATTATTATTATTTTTTAATCATATCTTTTTTTTATTAATTCCAAGCATTTATTTATAATAATAATTATTATCATCATTACCATTATTATTTATTTAATTAATAAATAATCAGGATTAGTATAAGTTTTAATGGATGAAATCGAATGGAAAAATTTAAATTAAATTTTTTGGGCCATTCATTATAATAATAATAATAATAACAAAACGAATTGATAAAAAAATATTAAATAGAATAAATAACCGACAATAAAATAAATTTTTATGTAATTTTTTTTTTTTTTTTTTTTGTTTTTATTAAAAATAAAATTGGCTTAATAAAAAAAAAAAAAAAAAAAAAACCAGAAAAAATTTATTATTATTATTATTATTATTATTATTAATTTATTTTATTTACATATATATATATATATAAATTTTAGTTAATTGCTCATTAGTTAAATAATAAATAAT